AATTACCACAGACAACTCTGAAAATACTAAATACCATTCAAAGACATACTGAAATCAAAGGAGTTCATAATTGAATTTTACCTAATGATATGTGGTTCAGGTCAAGTTTTATCTAACTTTAAAAAATGGATAATTCATGTGATTAAACCTGTTTATGATGTTCACTTAATTTTAATGCAAAGCTCTGATAAAATTAGTACTTGCTAGTAAAAAAAAAACCTTATAAAGCAATCTCATTTATTAATATATATGCACAAAATTTACAAATAAAATATATACATGTAGCAAATGATATATTCAAAAAGTAAATGATGCATGGCTTATTCCATGAAAGCAAAGAAACTTCAACATCAAGAAATTCAATAATACTAGTCCATTTTACCAGTTGGTTAAAGGAGAAAAAACACTATTATATCAATAGATGCTGAGAGGCACTTAACAAAATCCAACAGCATTTCATTTAAAACATCTAACTAAAATTGGAATACAAGTAAAATAGTTAATTAAAAATAAATATTTACCAAAAACATCAAACATAATTCCAAGTGGCAAAGCACCAAATAATTTCAATTAAAATCAGTAAGTAGATATGGATGTTCAATGCCATTATTATTTAACAAAGTCTGAGGGGTTCAAATGAACTTCATAAGATATTAACAAGATAAGAAAATAAAATAACAGATACAAACACTGGAAAAAAATAGATGAACTCTTTTTGGGTGGGTATTGAGCAGGTGATACAATTGTAGAACTAGATAATCCAAGAGATACTAGTAAAAAAACTAGTAGAATATGAGGATTTTATAAAGTTGATGGGTATAAGACAAATACACAAAAATCAATAACCTTTCCTTATTCTATCAACAAATATGAAGATTTCAATTTTCTTCCATTCTTTTAACTAAAACTGTCCTTTTTCCTAAAACACTGAAAACTGATGCTGGACAACTTGAGTTCAGCTTTAGAGAAATTGCCACAAAACTTGTGTATAGACAATCTTTGTGCCTGCTCTGTGGGTCAAAATGATCACCAGAGACACTTAAATTACAAACCAGAAAAACTCATCTGATTCCGGCTGCCTGTTCCCACACCATATGAGAATGCTTCAAGCCTGACATCTGAAAATCTTTCACTAGGAGCACTCAAGACCCAGACACTGGGTTTGTAATTTGCTCCAACCATTAACCTATATTTTTCTTTTGTTTCTGTAGAAGTGTCTCTTATTAATTACCTGATTGCTTGCTAAACAAAACAGAGTCTATATCATGGCTAACACCACCTGCTACACGATTAAGGCCTTACGTGACTCTCAAATAGCATTACAATATTAAACACTGAAATAACTCATTCATAAAGCAGTTCTACAAAATAAAATGGTATTAGATGTTTTAACTGCAGCATGGGTGGAACATGTGCCATCATAAACACTGAATGCTACATATATATTCCAGATTATCACCAAAATGTAACAGGATTGCTAATTGTGCTCAAATTGGCACTTCTTAAAATTTTTTTAATGTTTTATTTAAAAAAAATTTTTTTAATGTTTACTTTTGAGAGAGAGAGCACGCGCAGGGGAGGGGCAGAGAGCTAGGGAGTCACAGAATTCGAAGCCGACTCCAGGCTCCCAGCTGTCAGCACAGAGCCTGATGTGGGGCTCGAACTCACAGGCCTATAGATCATGACCTGAGCTGAAGTCGGCAACCTAATCGACTGAACCACCCAAGCGCCCCAATGTTTTATTTTTTTTTTTTTTGAGAAAGAGAGAGAGAGGGAAGGGTGGAGAGAGAGTAAAAACACAGAATCTGAAGTTAGACTCCAAGCCCCGAGCTGTCAGCACAGAGCCCAACGTGAGGCTTAAACCCATGAACCGTGAGATCACTACCTGAGCCAAAGCCAGATGCCCAACCGACTGAGCCACCCAGGTGCCCCTCAAATTGCCACTTTAAACAATCTCTCCCTCTCCTTTAATAATTGGTTAAACTCCTGAACTGGAGGATTTTGGTCAACTATCAAAGGTCTCTTTATTGGGCTTCTTTTTCTCATAATAATTTCATTCGTGTTTTGCTGTCTTTTAAATGTCTCTCCACCTGGTGCCCAGACTCCCTCAGTGGCATAACTTCAAGTGGACAGATAATCTTTTGTACTCAAGGAGATTCATATATGTTGTCTACCTTGGATTTGGCTGCTTCTGCTTTTAACAATTCCTATAACCCCAAATGACCAATGCCCCTATTCAGCAGCAAAAAGTTACAGAAGATAAGACCTTCCACCCTCAGCAACCTTAAAGATTTAAGGGTCAAGTAATTCAGGGGACAAATGATGAAGAGAACAAAGGTAAGAGAAATGGGGCTAAAATCATCTCTTTACAACTTGCAACCCCCCACTTATAAATTCCTGAGACATGCAGAGTGTGACATTCCTCAAGGAACTCATGGCTACTTTACTGTTGATGTTTCATTAAAGACTAAAAGCAACCTTATCTTAACAACAGCCCTCCAAGATCCTGGAGACCTTGCTTTTTAACATGCTCAAATTCCTTAGAGACTTACCTTATCCCTAACCCCCACTAACTAAAAAGTATATAACCAATTACTCCTCACAATCCCAGTGCAACTCTTTCTGCCTACTTGTCTTGTCTCTGTGCTATAATAAAAGCACGTTTTGGCACCAAAACAAAAACAAAAACAAAATACCAAGAGACTGAAATAGTGAAAAAAGTCCACTTATAGTAGATGCAAAAACATGACAGTCATAAATTTAACAAGAAGGAAAAAGTAACATAGCCAAATAAAACTAAGAAATCATAATTAAAAACAAAAAAAGCTTAAAGAAATGAAAGGACATACTATATTCTTGAATGAGAAGACTTTTACAATATTGAGACTTAATATCACTAAAAATGCCAATTCTCCAAAATTTAATATGTAAATATAATGCAATTCCAGCTAGAATCTCTGTTGGGATTAGTATTAAATGAAATTACCTTAACTTCATGTGGAAGAATAACTTCTTGTAAATATAAATATGTAAGAAGAGTATAAAGACTGGAGGAGAAAAACTTTACTAAGTATCAATTAGTCTTTGGATTAGAAGTAAATACAGGATCTTAAAAAATTCAAATTGAAGACTAACTCCTCCATGTATATATTTAAAAAGTAAGAACAGTAGAAAGAGAAAGGATTTACCAGCTGTGAGATTATGCTATTAAGTCACTATATTCAGATGAATACGTATGAATGGTATATAAATAAATTTGTGGAACAAAAGAGAACACAATAATCAATGCTAACATATATAAAATTTTAACATATGACAAATAGTTCTATTCAGTGTAAAAGGATGGATTATTTAATATACAATACTGATACAACTGGTTATCCATTTGGAAAGAATAAAACTAATCCCCCATATCTCATACCATATAAAAAATAAATCTTACATGGATTAATGACTTAAATGTAAAAAAAAACCTCGAGACTATCTGTACAATTTAAGAATGTTTTAACCAAAACTAACCAAAAACAATACAAGACATATCATTTGATCACATCAAAATGAAAAATTTTGGTAGTAAAATTTACCATAAAAAGTCAACAAATTATACATTAGAAAAAAACCGAATATAGATTATAATTACTACATTATACAAACTGCTCTTAAAAATTATCAAGAAAAATTCCAATAATGCAATAGAAAATTGGCAAAATCTATAAATAGGTAATTCACAGAAGGGAAAATTAAAATATTTGATATCTGCTCCAACTTCACGTAACGAGTCCTTATTTTCCATTCCAGCACCACTTTCTCTCCAGATTTCCTAGTCTGTGGTGTGCTCCCATCATTAAATACTCTCAAGAAAAGAGGTTCAGAGTCCTCTGTGACTTCCTTCTCTCCCTGTCTACTTAGCCAGATGTTCACCTCTCTAATCCTGGGTAGTCTGCTCAATCTTGATTCTATCTTGGTTTTCCCATTGTGGCCACGGAGATGAACAAGGAGACACAGTGCGATGAGCACGAATCTTGGAATCTGAACTGTTTCACTCCCTACCATTTACCAGCTATGTGAAAACAGGCTTGTTACCTTTCTAGGCTTTGATTCTCTTCTCTGCAAGATGGGACAATTATACCTGTTTTTCATGATCCCTGTGGCAACTGACAGAAGTAATTTACATACAGTGCATATTAGGACCCCAAAAAAATGTAGTCCCTTCCTACTTCAGTTTGTTACAGTTAGTCTCGGGCCTGGGTTATCAGCAAAGATATTTTTTAAATGGCTACCTAGCTCCAATTTCTTGATTATCTGGAACACCCCCAATCATTGTAATAACTTAATTTTGCTAAAACACTGCTTGTATTATAGTATTCTCCTTGAATGAAAATTAATTATGAATTTTCAAGGATTCCTATTGCCTTTAGGGAAAAGTACAAATTCCATAGTGCCAAGACACTCATTCCTCTCAGGTAGAAATTTAAAACCTTTGCCCATAGTGCCCCAAACACAGGTTTTTTTCTAAATTTTTTTTTTTAACATTTGTTTATTTTTGAGACAGAGAGAGAAAGCATGAACCGGGGAGGGTCAGAGAAAGAGGGAGACACAGAATCTGAAACAGGCTCCAGGCTCTGAGCTGTCAGCACAGAGCCCGACGCGGGGCTCGAGCCCACCAACCATGAGATCATGACCTGAGCCGAAGTCGGACGCTTAACCGACTGAGCCACCCAGGCGCCCCACCAAACACAGTTTTTAATTTTTCCTTTGGGAAAATGAAGGAATATATTCACTTAATTGTGAATGGCATTCACTCTCAATGGCAGAATCAGAAGGGATGATAGTAAATATTGATCACAGACACAGTTATTGACCTAGTTACTAGTAATTAGCCATATTTGCAACACTAATTAAAACAAGATTTTGCTGTGATTATAAAATAAATAAAAATGTAAATACTTCTTTGTTATGGCCAGTTGCTAACAACAGCAAATAAAATCATTCTCTTTTACCTAGTACTTCTTTTTCCAAGTCATGGCATCTGGTTTGCAAGTTTGCTTCCTGTTGTTGGGATGTCTGAATCTGCTGAGACCTCAGTATGGCTGCATCTGACAACAATTTCAGATTTTTCATTTCCTCTTCAAGGCACATCTTATTTCTCTGGGACACTGTCAAACTTTTCTTTAGTATCTCTATTTCTGTATAGAAAAGTCAAAGTTTGCAAATAGACAAAATTGAATCATAAATCATTTCCCTGTAGAATGATTATTTTTTTCTAGAAAATCAATAGTTGAAAGTCAAGATAACTTTTCTGTCAGTAGAATGACACCTAACCAAAAAATTTAAATTTAGTAGTTATTCTGAAAAAGAAAGAAGAAGGATTGCATTGCTAAATGATGCATAAAAAGTTTTAGTAGGTTAGCCTTTAAATTGTATTAAATGGCAATCCATCTTGCTTTTTAAATGCTCACATAAATGAATAACACAATATCTGCATAATGTTCTGAGTTTTATTGAAATTAAATTGTTTTCTTGGCAACATGATTCAGAAAAGTACATTTAAATATGCTAGCGTGAGCTGGTTGGGTGGCATTTCTAGGAGAGTAATTAGGGTACATTCTATACAAATTATGAAGAAAGACAGTAGGGGTGGAGAGGAATAAAAGGATTCAGTGTCTAAAGCTAATAAATTTATGGGCAGAAAGTATTAGTTAATAGAGCTTAATGATTCTAATAATACTTTGTCCACTCAAAATGAGACCAGAATTTTATCATAGCAATCACTTGTCATTATTCTATCTACTTAGATTAAGTTTAATAAAAATATGCCTTCACAGCATTATGTAGATTTAAATGTGCTAATTTTATATAATTTTGTGAGAAATGCATGGAACATATTATCCTTCAGAATAATCATCAAGCTCTCCCTTAAGCAGTCTCTTCAGCACTGTCTTAAACCACCACTAAAATATAAAAATACACACACAATAATGATAAAATACTATAAAATTTGTACAACCGCAATTAATTTGAATTGATGAGGAGGTGATCTATGTGAAAATCTGACAGTCTGCTTTTCCAGATAGTTCACTTGGCATCCCCTTTCTTGTTTAGCTTATCCTGGGCCATGTGATGGGTGTAGCATGTGATTGGGGATCAGAGGAGACTGGCTTGGTCTTGGGGGCACCACAGCACCAGATAGGCTAGTGAAGACCTGAAGCAGAGAGCCAGAAGACAGACATGGCATCAGAGGCAATAGGGCTGGTAAGTGGTTAAAGAGAAGTAAAGCGGTTGGCTAGACAGAGCACAGAGAAGAGAACATGCCTTAAAGGATGGTGAAGAATAGAATTAGGAATGTGGTCCAAGGAGAGAAAGTAAAATGTCTTTCTGTGGGTGATGAGCATGTCCGAAAGAAAATGTGACCGTCAAGACAGATTTAGGGGTGACCACAAGGAGTCTGGCACCTACTTCACTTCTAATTGTTGCTCAAAATGGAAAACCTGGAGAAATAAATTGGCAGGGACCAAGTAAGTGAGGTTCTACCATATTCAAACAATTACTTAAATGGGAATATTTTTCCTAAGAATAACTATATGCTTCTAAATACTTACGGATATGCACCCATTTGTGTAAAGAAAACTGCTAACACACTAGTGTGTAAAATTTTAAAAGAATAGAATTTAAAAAATATGGAGGTTGCAGTTTTTCTTTAGGCCCAATTTTTCTCTAGTATTTCTGTATCCATAAAGGTGGCTCCTTCTGCTGAATAAACTGTATCATATCCTAATCATATCTGTGTTTAAGTCAGAATGACAGTGCAGAGGAATCCGCACATGCTGTCACCTATTTTTCATTTGCCAGAATGATGCTGCTTAGGTTAGCAGGCTGACTCTGTAAGTGTACACTGCTATCTGTCTCTAAAATAACTACTCATGTCAACATGACTTTCTATCTGACATTAGAAGAATAAGAATCTGCAATACAAATTCAGTTGTGAAATATATTCTAATACATGGAAAAGTACAGCAAGATTTCCAAACTAATAGGAGCTATATTTCTAATGTGAAATTAGAAGACTAAAACTCAGTGAAGGGGAATTAACTCACCCTCGACAAATGACACATTCCCTGTACCTACGGCAATCCTGATGTCAAATACTGGGTCCTACCTTCATCATTCTACAGCATCATATTTGTCAGTCACGTGTTCCAATTTGGAGTTCAGAAGTTATGATTTCCACCAGGTTAACCTATTCTGGTTGTTGTACCCACCTTGGTTTCCCTTATCTCAGCACCCCCTATGAAGAAGGTCCTTCTAACTTCATTCATTTGGCTTGCTATTGCTCATATGCTACCATGGCCTGGCAATCTTTTCTGACCCAATCTGGAAGTGACCTGGATCTTCCTAGAACTCATACCAATTTACACCATTTTTACTGCACTGATAATATGTATACATGTGATCTATTATTAGACTGTAAGTTACTTAGGCCAGAGACCATATATTAGTCATTTTTTATTCCACCCACAATTTTTACCATGATGTCCTAGAAATAACAGGAGCTCAATACATACCAACCAAATGAGTAAAGGCTTTATTGAGCAAAACTTCTAAATAGTTTCTGATATACTAGTTGAATACAGTATCCTGAATATTTTTTGTCTTATCTTGCCCTTCACTTCAGAGGCAAGCATTTTGAGTCACAGATTCTTTAATGTTAGGCTAGGTAAGGTAGTAAAAACACATATGCAAAAGCAGCTAACATTTTTAATAGCATGAGAAAATAGGCCTATTTCATCCCTAATTTCTTCAATTTTATGAAAATATGTGGACTACATTTCCAAGCCTAATTTGGAACTTGAATTTTAAAAATTCAGGAGCTATCCAATAGTTATTTTGAGAGTGGAAACAAACTGATTCTACACTTAAAATAATCGACCTTGGTAAAAATATTTTTTCCTGAAATTTCTTTTATCAAAATAGGTATGCTCTGCTTTAATAAAACCTAATCTATGCTAGCTCTCTCTCTCTCTCTCTCAAAAAATAAATAAACCTCAAAAAAAACTTAAAAAAAAAAATGGGTGCCTGGGTGGTTCAGTCGGTTGAGCGTCCGACTTCAGCTCAGGTCATGATCTCACAGACTGAGTTCGAGCCCCACATTGGGCTCTGTGCTGACAGCTCAGAGCCTGGAGTCTGCTTTGGGTTCTGTGTCTCCCTCTCTGCCCCTCCCCCCTCCCCCCTTGCACTCTGTCTCTCTCTCTATCAAAAAATAAATAAACCTCAAAAAAAATTTTTTTAAAGTAATACAAGAAAAAAAAAGAAAACCTAATCTATGAATATTTGAGCTTAAAAACATTGATTATATAAAGAGATAGCCACTCATTAGAGGGGTAGGAAATATTTTACTCATATCCGCTATTCAATAATCAACATTCTTGCCAGCAAGAAAATATTAAGCAAAGCCTTTTCTAGGAACGTTGTTTCTGTTCTGGACTTTGATTTTAAGCCTAAATTTTAATGTGCAAAACTTTTAAAGTATCTCAAATAATGTTGTGAATTTGTATGGGGTTCACTATATTATGAGTTTGCTAGGGCTGCTGTAACAAAGTAGCAGAGACCGGGTAGCTTAAGGGGCAGAGATTGATTTTTTCACAATTCTGGAGGCTAAGAAGTCTGAGATTAAGGTATCAGCTAGGTTGGTTTCTTTCAAGGGCCATGAAGGACAGATCTGTTCCAGGCCTCTCTACTTGGCTTATAAAAGGCCATCTTCTTCCTGTGTCTTCAAGACTCTTTCTTCTGTATGTTTCTGTTTCCTCTGTTTTTATAAGGAACACCAATCAGATTAGAGCCCACCCATTTAAATTTATTTCTTTAAGAACCCTAGGGGCGCCTAGGTGGCTCAGTCGGTTGGGAGTCCGACTTCGGCTCAGGTCATGATCTCACAGTTGGTGGGTTCAAGCCCCACGTAGGGCTCTGTACTGACAGCTCAGAGCCTGGAGCCTGCTTCAAATTCTGTGTCTCCTCTTCTGTCTGTCCCTCCCATGCTCATGCTCCGTCTCGCTCTGTCTCTCAATAATAAATGAAACATTAAAAAAAAAATTAAGAAAAAAGAACCCTCACTCCAAATACAGATATATTCTGAGGTGCTGGGAATTGGAACTTTAACATATGAATGGGGGGGGTGCAGTGACATAATTTAGCCAATAACATATTTTAGAACATTTACTGGCATTTACACTGTGATTATAAATATGGAAAAAAATAGATGAGCATGTGTTGGACTAGAAGATAAAATGGGAAGATGAAAACAACTATGTTAGGATAAAGGAATTACGGGTTTGTTTTACTTCTTATAAAAATGTTTCCATTGTTCTTCTTATATCAACTTTTCTAGTTTAACTTTTTTTTTCCATTTATTTTCATTTCATTTATTTTCATTTCATTTTCATTCATTTCATTATTTTTGAGAAACAGAGAGAGCACAAGTGGGGAGGGGCAGACAGAGAAGTAGACAGAATCCAAAGCAGGCTCCAGGCTCTGAGCTGTCAGCACAGAGCCCAACGCAGGGCTCGAACCCACAGACTGTGAGATCATGACCTGAGCCAAAGTCTGACAGTTAACCGACTGAGCCACCCAGGAGCCCCTTATATCAACTTTTCAATTGAAGAACTGTGTCATGCAGAATCAACTCACACCCTAAGAATATATCCACATAGATCATAAATAAAAGCTGGTATTGAAAAAGTATTTGTCATTTAAAATGTTAATAATATTGTTAAAGTTTATAGCTAATATAGCTTTTTTTAGCCGTTAGAATAAGTATCATATAATGCTAGCTAATGTAAATACAATTATTAGTATTAATCTTACATAATTTCTTTATCTTAATAAGATTTTTCTGTTGTTCTTAGTCCTATTAGCTTAATCATATGGACTTAAAATTATGTCTCTAGGAAATCTTTACAATTTTAGACATTCTAATAGATGTGTAGTAGTATTTCATTACAGTTATAATTTGTATTTCCCTAATTGGCTAATGTTGAACAATTTTTCATATGCTTTATTATTCCATCTGCATAACCTCTAGGTGAAATTTTTGCTCACATATTTTGCCCATTTCCTAATTAAACTGTTTATTTAAAACGTAGAGTCTTGAGAGTTTTTCATCTATTCCAGATAAAAATCCTTTGTGTGGTCCACAAATACTTTCTCCTAATCTGTAATTTGTCTTTTCATCCTCTTAACAGGGTCTTTCACAGAATAAAAGTTCTTAATTTTGTTGAGGTTCTTATTTATCAAGTTTTCCTTTTATGTATCATGCTTTTAGTTCAAGTCTGAGAATCCTAAGTCCCAAAGATTTTCTAGTTTTCTATTTTCTTTTTTTTTTTTTAATTTTTTTTTTCAACGTTTATTTATTTTTGGGACAGAGAGAGACAGAGCATGAACGGGGGAGGAGCAGAGAGAGAGGGAGACACAGAATCGGAAACAGGCTCCAGGCTCTGAGCCATCAGCCCAGAGCCTGATGCGGGGCTCGAACTCACGGACTGCAAGATCGTGACCTGGCTGAAGTCGGACGCTTAACCGACTGCGCCACCCAGGCGCCCCGTCTAGTTTTCTATTTTCCATTTAGGTCTATGATCCATTATGAATTAATTTTTGCATAAGGTGCAAGGTTTTGGTCAAGGTTCTTTTTTTATTTTTATGCCTATAGGTAACCAGTTACTCCAGTCACTCCATTGCCTCCATTATTATTTTCAGTTTGTTAAAAAACAACAACAATAAAAAGGCTAGCCTATCCTTCTTCCATTGAACTGCTTGTTCACTCTTGTCAAAAATCAGTTCTGTATATTTACATGGGTCTACATTTTTATATATATTTAATATATTAGTTATATATTAATAAATATATTTAAGCTATAAGAGCATTAATTTTGCTCCCTTATTTAAGGGTACTAGCCTGACACAATGAACACTTCTTTAGGATATATGTATGGACATATGTTTTCATGGCAGGGAGAGCACATAAATACCAAAGAAGAATTTCAGGGTCATTGGGTAGGTGTATCTTTAGTTTTGTTAAACAACAACAACAACAACTGTCAGATCTTTTTTCAAAGTGGTTGTAGCATTTTATACTCTCACCAATTTGCATAAGAATTCCAGTTGCTTTTCTTCCTCACTAACATTTGCTGTTGTCAATCTTTTTCATTTTAACAAGTATAGTGGGTATGTACTGTTGACATTTGCATTTCCCTTTTGACCAATAATGTTCAGCACTTTTTCATGTCGTATTGGTCAACTGTATATGTTTCCTTGTAAAGTGTCTGCTCAAATCTTCTAGCCATTGTTGACTGGATTGTTTGTCCTTTCATTACTGACTTGTTGGTGCTCTTTATGTAATCCAGACAGCAATTCTTTGTTTTTTAAATGTTTTTTTTTAAATATTTTCTCTGTCTGTGGCTTACCTATTCATTTTTTTTCTTTCTTTTTTTTTCTTTCAAATCAATTTAATAACCTGGCAGCAATTCAAAATATGGAAAGATTCAAACTTGTTCCCTTAAGAGGTATGCTACCATGACTGTTTCACACAAGCATGAACAATGGCAACGATGAAACCGATTCCAAAGAGCAAGGATGATAAGAAGGCTTCTAGGCTCACACACTGAAGAGCTTGGTTTCAGAAAGTCTCTTGAGGGGTAGCAGAGGAGACATGAAATTTAAGGGGCCCTCAGAGGACAGGGCGCAGTTGCTGGGTCATGAGCACCTTGAAGCGTTTCTTGATGTTGATTCGGTGTCGAGAGTATTTGTCATCTGGGGAGAACCGAGCAGGATGAACTGAGCAGGTCTGCTGTCCCATAGGGTCAAGCTTCTTCAGCATATAGACCCGGTCTACCTGATCGTTGAGGTAATACTGGAGAAACATGACCACACCGAAGCCAGAAGTTCCAATTTCGTCTGTACCTCTTCCTAACCGTCGCCAGTCTCACCACCTATTCATTTTCTTTTTTTTTTTTTTAATTTTTTTTTTCAACGTTTATTTATTTTTGGGACAGAGAGAGACAGAGCATGAACGGGGGAGGGGCAGAGAGAGAGGGAGACACAGAATCCGAAACAGGCTCCAGGCTCCGAGCCATCAGCCCAGAACCTGACGCGGGGCTCGAACTCACGGACCGCGAGATCGTGACCTGGCTGAAGTCGGACGCTTAACCGACTGCGCCACCCAGGCGCCCCCCTATTCATTTTCTTAATAGCATCTTTTGATGAACAGAAATTTTTAATTTTGATAAAGTCTAACACATCAATTTTTGGGTCTTTTTCTATCCAAAAAACTTCATTTACTACCAATTCATGAAGATATTTTCCTCTATTTCTTCTTTGATAGTTTTAGCTTTTATATTTAGTTCTATGATTTATCTTGAATTAGCTTCATGTACAATGTAATGTAGGACTTGAGGTATATTTTCCCATATGGGTATTCTACTGTTCTAGCACAATTTGTTGAAAGACTTTCTTGTTTCCCATTTGATCGTTTTGGCACATTTGTGAAAAGTGAAATAATCATACAAATAGGGATCATTTACCAGGTTATTGTTCCATTTATCTATTGATGATCCATATGCCATAATACATAATAAATCTTAGAGACAGGTGATAGTAATTCTCCATTGTTTGGATACTTTTAAAAGAGTTATTTTTTTAGTTTATTTATTACCTCTGTAGCTTTATCATTTTGTATTTATTTTTTAGTGGTTGCTCTATGAATTATACATCATTTTTACATCCTTTTAGAGTCCTGGGATTCTGTTCATCTTTTTTCAATGTTATTTAGTTTTCTTCTTCAAAATGAATAAAGTTTGCTGACTCTTTTTTCTATAATCACAATATGCTATAGAAGTCCATCCAGTAAATTTTTATTTCAGATACTATATTTTTCTAATCTTGACTATCCAATTTTTAATAGTTTCTTGCTGAGATAGTCTATCTCTTTTCATTCATTACTAGCTTATTTTCTTTTATGTCATTGAACATAGTTAACAGCTAATTTGAAATCCTGGTTAGTTAATTATATCATCTGGATCAACTCAGCATTGGTCTCTGTTGTCTGTTCTCTTGAGTATGATCCATACTTTCCTGTTTCTTCCCAGTTCAAGGAATTGGGGATTGCATCTTGAACATTGGGGATGTTATGCTAAGGAGACCTTGAATTCTGTTATATTCCTCCAAAGGGTAGTGATTTTTGGTATTGTTTTATTTTAATAAGCAGCTAACTTGTCTGAACTCAAACTGTAAAATATGTCTACCCTTGGGTGACAGCTAAAATATCAGTTATTTCGGCCTTTGGTGGGCTGTTTAAAGTCTTCCCTGTGCACGTGCATTGTAGAAGTAGGACAGAGATTTGGAAAAAGCTTATATGCAAACTCTGAACTCTCCCTCGCTGATTATCTCTTTTCTGGGATATTCCCTTATTTCTCAGAGGCTGCCTTGATCTATGTCCTCCAGTCTTCAAGCCAAAAAGACTACAGATTTCTTCAGAGTTTTAGCTTCCCTGTGTAGAACACACTATACTCTGCCCTCAACCCATTAGCCTTAAACAAACAAAAATAAAAACAAAACCCCAGGGAATTCACCCAGTGCCATTTTCTTCTTTTACTTCAAAAAAAAATAGGCTTTATAAAATATCAGTTTTAGGCTCATAGGAAAATTAAGCAGGAAGTACAGAGATTCCCATATAACTTCTGCCCGCACACATGCATAGCCTCTCCCATCATCAACATCCTACACCAGAGTGCAACATTTCTTAAAATCAATAAACCTACACTCACACATCACAAACACCCCCAAATCCTTAGTTTATATTAGGATTCACTCTTGGTGCTTACATTCTGAGCTTTGACAAATGTATAATGACATGTATCCACCATTCTAGTATCATACAAAGTATTTTCATTGCCTTAAAAATCCTTCACGCCCAATCTATTCATCCTTCCCCCACCCCACCCCCCGGCAAACAAAGACCTTTTTTTTACTATATCCATAGTTTTGCCCTTTTCAGAATATCATTTAGTTGGAATCATATAGTATGTAGCCTTTCAGTCTGGCTTCTTTCACTTAGTAATATGCCTTTTTTCAATTTTTGGACATTCTCTCTGCTATGTGCTTGATTTTGGTCACTCTCCAGGTGTTTTTAGGTAGTTACTTTGTCTAGAAATTATCAGTTATCTGTGGAAGGCTGATTCAACATGAGATACTCACTCATTAACAGAAAAAAAGTGTAAGAAGTCAAATTGGCATACTTAACAGTAATAAACAGACTTCTGGTCACAGCTTTAGATAGATGTGTCATGGTTAATTTCAGATTATTGAATTTCAGGGTTCAAATTATTGAATTTCAGGGTTCAAATAGGTCATAATGGCCACCTAGTTTACCAACAAACAATAATTTTAAAAGTTAGTCATACGTCCCATCACATCAAATATCATTATTTCATTACTTATTATGTACGATATACCAAAAGGAAAAAGATGATTACATTCTAAATATACATAACAAACCTGTCAAGGCTGTTTCACTTATGGATTTAATTTGTAGAAAAACTTCTCCTTTCAGTGAAGTCCAGTTTTGAAAATTGTCATATACTTCATTTTTAATACTGGTTAGCTCCCTTTTAGTAAAAGTAAGTAATGAAAGAGTCTTATTCCACAAATACTTGTACTCCACCAACCTTTGACTGTAAAATAGTTTTAAAAATTAGGATTTTAAAAGTAGCAAGCATAATAACAAATATTTCTTTGAAAAAATGGTTTTCTTTGAAAAATGGTTTGAGAATGACCATATAATCTACTGTCTAAATGGAGACAATTTTGAAAGTAAAAGGAGGTGATATTTGTATTTTGCTGAGATGACAGATATAAACTAGGAATATCCCAGGAACACTGAAGTGTATGGTCAGCCCAACTCATTTTCATTATATTATTTTAACTATAAAGAAATAGAGCTAATTTTTTCATACATATTTATTCTACTAACCTTTTAAATTAATTCAACAGTAAACAGTGAAGAAAATTCGGTCACAGTGACTTCATCATAGACCAAAATGGGAATCTCAGATTCTTAGACAGTATTCTCACTACATACCATGCTTCTCCAGACAGTGTAAAACCCAAGGTAATAATAAAGAATACCTTTTAAAGTGAATGATGTAGTGCTTTTGCTTCATCAAGTGACACAGTTCAAAGAAATCACACATTTTTTGCAATCTCAGTGATTTATTACTTCAGATGTCCTGCCTATAATTTACCCAACAATTAGACAAGATCTGAAAGTTATCAGCAAAATAAATAAGTAAGTAAGTAAGTAATGACTGAAGCCATGGAAGTGTATAATTGGTTAATATATATCTTCCTGGATAGACTAGATCTATGATGCAGAGACTATATCTGTCTTATTCATCACAGTTTCCCAAGCACCTAGCATAGTACCTATCACATAGTATATGCTTAAATACTGACAAATAAATGAATGAGTAAAAATAATATATCACCCAGTTGGAGGACTGAAGAAGTGAGAAGTGCTGGGGATAAAACACTGGATAACACTAACATTTATAGGACTATAACAGAAAATAATCCCTCAAAAAAAGACCAGCGAGCCAAAAGAATAATATCAGAAATTCAGGAAATAGGAAATGTAAACAAAAAATAGTGGTCAGTGTTTAAGTCCTCAGTTAAAGGCTGAACAGAGTCCACTGTATCTGGTATTAAGGAGGCCTCTGAAGATCTGAGAGAGAGACATTAGGTAGGAAAGGACAGAGTAGTAAAGCAGAAGTGATACTAGCAGTCAAGAACCTTGACTTAAATAGCAAGGAGAGGAAGAGGAAAATGCAGAGTAGAATGGTTTGTAGAGAAAGGAGACACCTGAATGTGCACACAGCTGAGCAACAATATGAGCACAGTCAGAGGCTAAAAACACAGACAAGAGATACAGTCAATTTCTTGTGCAAAGTCCTAGAAAGGCCAGATATAGGCCAGAGGCTAAAAGATTAGCCTTTGCCAGGAAAAAGGGTGATGACATTCTATATGGTAACTAATGTCCACTTGAGTGACCAGAAGCCACAGAGGATACCTCAAACAGCATGCAGAGGTAGGAGCTAAGAGAGATGCTAATTTCAAAAAGCAGAGAAAGAGTCCAAATAGATCACTAAATCAAGGGGGCCAAAAGTAAGGATGAGAAGTCTGAATGTGGAACCAGAAACTGGTGGTAAGAAAGGGAGATCAGAGCTATGAACTAAGTCAAGGTCAAGGGCTAATGGTTTTGGTGTAAGGCAGCTGCCGGGAATAAACCATGTACAAAGGGGTCAGGGTATAGAAGGATATTTAACAGGAAAAAAGACTGGATGTGGATTCAGGTGCTTCTTTAGGGAGAAAGGCAGGAAATAGAAAATTCAAGCTTGTTAGCCAAGACCAGATCCATGCTTTGTGGGACCTAAATCTTACATTATTAGTGGTGAGTGAGAGGAAGACTTTCTTGGAAAAAAAAGAAAAAGGAACACAAAAATGATGTCCACAAAATTAGGTTTAAAAGTGTGTGCTTATCTATAGAATGAGAAAAATCATTACAAATGAAAATTGTAAAGTTGATAAATTCCACCAATATCACAAAATATAGGAAAATAATGTAACTTGCTAATAGTAACGGCTCTACAATATTTTTTTTGCTTGTAATTTTTGTCCACATGTTCTTCAACCACTTCTGCATATGAGAACCATTTTATAATAATGCATTATGTGGAGAGAATATAAAAATTATATAGCCTTTCATCTAACATGGCCATTAGTTTTTTATTATTGGTAGTTTCAAAATATTCTTTCGGCTTTATGATTCATTATTGATAACACTGTGCAAATATTACACATTGTCCAATTTGGAAAAACACTTTTCTAGTTTTCTTATATGATTATAAGAATTGGAGCATTTCAAGTTTTCTTGGAAAATGACTAGACTTAAATTGTCTTTGAAATGATGAAACTCATAAAACAGTTTATCTTAAATGTCCTTGAAGTGGTGTGATTTTTATGTTGTATTCAGTGATGTTAGTAGCTTTTGTAAATTGGCAAAACATTTAAATCTTTCTCCAATGTATTTAAATAATTTACTTCATTCAATGGATTATTTCATAATCCAAGAGCTTTTTTTGAAAATATATCTTTCTCTTAATGAATTCACTTGTAATATAATCTGAAAAAAGAGTTATAATTTTTTATGCTAGAATAATTTATATTGCTTAAATTGATATTTATTGTTTTTATTCCATTAATTTTTAAAAATTCATACACATTCAAATTTTTAGCTTGCAATCCTTACTTGTATTATTGAAGCATTCTACAATGTTTTCCCAAATGTCAGTTATAATCGTGTATTCCCAACTCAATTTTCCCTTACTCAGATTCCACAAATGCTTGTGACTACTCCAATGGCATAGCAACATCAGAAGTTTAAGAGAGGGGAAACCAGTGCCTGGGTGGCTCCATGGGTTAAGCATCCAATTTCGGCTCAGGTCATGATCTCATGGTTTATGGGTTTGAGCCCCGCATTGGGCTCTGTGCTGACAGCTCAGAGCCTGGAGCCTGCTTCAGATTCGGTGTCTCCCTCTCTTCCCCTCCCTCATGCACACTCTGTCTCTCTGTCTCTCTCTCTCTCAAAAATAAACAAACATTAAAGAAAGAGGAAACCAGACTAGAAAAAGAAAGAATATTAATCAGTTACAATTAAACCATCTTACTTCTGCTAGACAATAAATAGTACAAATATGCCTCAGTTTTTTCAATAATTTACAATGCTACAAATCACATGCAAAATGTGAATAGTGAAAATTGACCATATCAGTCCATAATATCCTGAAGCAGCATTAATTATTTAAGCTAGTCCTGGTCTACTTTTTTAAAATTTTTTAAATGTTTATTTATTTTTGAGAGAGAGCACGAGCATGAGCACGAGCAGGGAAGGGTCAGAGAGGATCTGAAGCAGGCTCCAGGCTCTGAGCTGTCAGCACAGAGCCTGATGCGGGGCTCAAAATCACAGACCGTGAGATCATGACGTGAGCTGAAGTCAGACACTTAACTTACTGAGCCACCCAGGCACCCCACGGTCTAATGTTTTTTTAAATGTTTATTTATTCTTGAAAGATAGAGACAGAGCATGAGCAGGGGAGGGGCAGAGAGAGACAGGGAGACACAGAATCCAAAGCAGGCTCCAGGCCCTGAGCTGTCAGCACAGAGCTGGACAAGGGCTCAAATGAACTGACCACAAGATCATGACCTGGGCCCAAGTTGGACACCTAACCGACTGAGCCACCCAGGTGCCCCTAGTCCTGGTCTAACCTTAAAATGTAATCAATCCTACCACTCATGATGGCATTAACGGATGAAACAAAAGGGACTTCCTTAGCAGACCTGAGCCAAAGCTATTGGAAAAAGCCAAGCTTGAACACCAGTGGGGATGATCAAAGTGGAGAACTGAAATCACCTGCTGGTTCAATACCAGATTTCTAGGAAAGGGCAAGGGTTTCTGATGATAAAAATTATCATCTGTTTTATTAGTAGACTCCTTCATTCATTCAAAAATTATTTACTGAGCATCAGTTATGTGCAAGGCATTTATGAAAGGTACTTGGCCAACATGTGATCACCAGCTAGTATATTAAAAACTTGTTAGCCTAGGAAATTTCTTTTAAGTTTATTTATTTCTTTCTGAGAGAGCAGAGAGAGAGGGAGGTGCAGAGAGAGAAGGAGAGAGAGAATCCCAAGCAGGCTCCGCCTCTGTCAGCACAGAGACCAATGTGGAGCTCGATCTCATGAACCATGAGATCCTGACCTGAGCCAAAATCAAGAGTTGGACACTTATGTGACTGAACCACCCAGGCACCCCACCCAGGCAATATTTTTAACAGAACAATGTTTCTGGCAACAACTAGTAGATTGGAAAAAAAGGAAAAGAAAAAGAAAAGAAAGAAACCTAACATTCAAAATATTCATCCAACATATTTTTTTTAAGTCACCCAGAATCCGTGTCTATTTGTAATGCTCATTTAACTTATTTCCCTTTTCTAGCAGCTAAATTACTCAGTTTTGAAAAGAATCATTTTTTTCTGATATTCTCAATAATTCAATTCCAATTTTATTTAAAAAAAATGAACTTCTTTGTTTCTGTAGAACACTGGGGTTTTTACCTTCAGGTATGATAAACCCTCCAAAGATGATATAAAAGCAGAATTAACACCATTTTTGTTGGAGATTTCTAAATTTAGAAGGTCTATTACTATCATTTAGAAATGTACCCTATTCTATGACTTTTTGTATCATTGGACTATCTGGCAGGGAATCAAATACACCAAGAAATAGTCATCAAAAGAAAAATGAATTAGCTAATATTCTTTCATTCTAAATGTTACTGCAAAATAAAAGCAAGGTGTTTGCCTGATTTAAATGTTATTGGTAAAACTATTCAGTTGAAATAATGATTTAAAAAGAAAATAAGTTGTTTTCATTGTTTCAACCACACTGAATATAGAAACTATATTACTAAAACGTGTTTGAATGTTTATAAAGTTAGTTTTAAATGTACTTTTTCAATCTTCATGATTTTCAGTTCTTTAAAGATAATCTTACCTGAATGCTTGTGATTGTCTCTGTTTAATATTTAATTCATGTTGCAAATGACTCAATTCTTTCTGTACTCTCTTCAATTCATTTTGTTGACTTTTTAACTGCATACTTACATCCCAAATTCTAAAAATATAAACAAAAAACATCCATTACAAGTTTAAATAATCCTTCATGAGAGCCTTATTAAATTAAAATTTAAATACACTTTTAATAAAAATAAATTCTAAAAAACTATGCATCTTTATATATGCTAAATGAATGTACAGAAAAAGTATGGAGAGACACAAATCAAACACCATTAACACTGGGAAGGAGAGTGGAACCAATTGGCAGGGGAAAGGCAAGGAAGGGCACTGAAGGGAGGCAAAACTTTTTCTCTGTATCTTTTGTATTGTTCAAATTTTTACAATAAACATTTTTTTACTTGAATTACTAATTAAAATATAACTTAAAAACATCAATTTAATTTTTATTAAAGTAATATGTGTATATAATTTCAAATGTCAAATATTACTAAAAGAGTTATAAGAAAAAAAACAGAAATCATTTTCTTTTACTTCAATTCCCACTGCCCAAAACAACTTTCAACGTTTTTCCTGATTCCTCTAGTATTTACTTCTATATTACTAAACAACATGCTTATATTATTATTCCTTAATATTTCAGTATAGATATTACCTAGTAAATTACAAATTACAGTTAAGATCTGATTCTGCTACATATAACTGAGACCTGAATATGATAGCTTAAATATACAAGAGTATATTATATTGCATAAAACAAATGTATTATTAGCCAATCTAATGCTGATGTAATAGCTTTATAGAGTCATCAGGTCCCCAGGATACTTCCAACTCTCTGGTCTACTATCTTTGGTATATGTCTTTTATTTTCATTGACCATGATAATGGCAGAAACTGCAACAATTCTTTTCCCATTCCAGACTAGCAACAAGAGGAGAATAATGGCTCACTCTGTCTCTTATAAGGAAACTTCCTAGAAGTACCACTAACTACTTCTGCTGAAGTTAGACACATGGCTGTACCTACTGTAAGTAAAGCTGGGAAACGTAGTCTTTTAATTGAAAAGATTAGCTCCCAGGTATATCCACAGTTCTATTACTAACAAAGAAGGAAGAATGGTGTTATAGTAGGTAACGAGCAGTCTCTATCACAATCCTAGTAAGAACTGACCCTCCTACACATACCTATACTCTTAAACGTACAAACACACCACCCTCCCCATCTTACCCTCCCAGTTTAGTTACATCAATCTTTTTATTCAGTACTTACATTATTCTTCACTAGTGAGATATCTGTTATGTTATGATCACATTTCTTTTCTTGTACAACTTTTTGGTGTCCCTGGATTGAAAACCCATCTCATTTTCTTCTTAGTTTTCTGTGTACCTGTCTTTGATACATCTTCCAAATCTGACCGAGGTCTAATTCTGCTTTCTCAATATCTTCAGACACAGCAGAAAACTCTTCCATATCATTTCTTTTCCAGGAAACATCCTTCCCAGAGCTCTCTATTCCCATGCTCCTGTCTGGGTATTCTCCGGTTTGACTAAACAACTGTCATCCTGTGACTTGCCTTTCTTACCATTTCAGGAACTGTCCTTAGCTCTCTTTCATGTCTGTACCCTGTACCCTGGCTCTAAAGTCTTCCTCCTTCTTGGTGTTCTCCTTTTGGTGGAATAGATCCTCCAGGAGTTTGTTTTTTGTTTTTGTTTGTTTTTTGTTTTTTTGTTTTGTACGTGAGAGGTAATTTTAAGAACTTGAATATGTGAAAATGTATTATATCTCAGACTGGACAGTTTAGCTAAATATAGAATCATAGATGAGAAAAAATATTCTTCACCTGAAAATTAGGGCACTTTTCCTCTGTTTCCTAACATATGGTGCTGTTTCTGAAAAGTCCAATGCCGATCTAATTTCTACTTCTTTGTATGATACATGGTAGGTTCTCCTCACTCTGCCCCTGCCCTGGTTCAGAAGCTTTAAGATTTTTCTCTTTTCACTTAGTATTCTTAACTTTCATCACAATATATTATTGTATCAGTCTTTTGTCATTCTCTTTGCTGGGCACCTGATGTTTTGAAAACTGGTGTTCTTTAGTTCCAGGAATTTTACCCTAAGGAAAATGATTCTTTCCCCTTCATTTTCTATGTTTTTTTTTTTTTTTTTCTTTTCTTTTCTGGAACATCTTTCTATTTAGATGTGGGACCTTCTGAAGAGATTTTCTAATTTTCTTAAATTTTTTGCCATCTTACTACTTTGGACATTTTGTTTATCTTCCATCCTGTCTATAAAATTTTTAATTTCTGTTATATTTTAATTACCAAGAATTCTTTCTTATTCTTCAAAAGTCTACAAGAATTCTTTCTTGTTCTTATTTCATGATTACAATTTCTTTTCTTATTTTTTGAAGGTATCAATTACTGTGTGTTTTACCATTTATTTTTTATTTTTTTAATTTATTATTTTTGAGAAAAAGAGAGAGTGTAAGCAGGTGAGGGGAAGAGGGAGAGAGGGAGACACAGAATCTGAAACAGGCTCCAGGCTCTCAGCTGTCAGCACAGAGCCCAATGCAGGGCTTGAACTCACAAACTGTGAGATCATGACCTGAGCTGAAGTCAGATGATTAACCCACTAAGCCACCCAGGGACCTCAACTATGGTGTATTTTAAAGTTTTCTTCAGCTTACTTCATAGCTTCTGTTCCTCTGGCTTTTTAAATTTTTTCTTTGTTTTGTTTCCCTTCTTTCACATTTGAAGCCTTCCTTACAAGTCTGGAGATCCTTTGTTATCTATTCATATTTACAAATGAGGACAATTGGTCCCATTTCTATAAGTTACTAATGATGGAGAAAAGAGGGAGTGGCTTTTCTAGATAAAAGAGAAGTAACAAAAGTGACAATCAAATGTGACATGTAGAACTTGTGTAGAACCAGATTCAAACAAACTACAATTTTTTTTAATATTGAGGAAATTTGATTATGAACTGGGAATTAGAAAATACTGAGGAACTATTGCTAATTTGGGAACAATAATACTGTTGTTGTATAAGAAAATGGCATATCACACTGAAGTAAATGGAGGTGAAACTAGCATGCAGTCTTGGATTTTCCTTAAATTGCTTCAACAACAAAAAAAAATGGGACAGATGAAACACATAAGCCAAAATTGTGGTAATTTTTGAATCTGTGTTAATGTATACTATACTATTTTCACCTAGAAAAAAAAACTAACAAATGAGGCAGTGAAATTCTGTCTTAAGGTTCTGTGGTGTGTGCAGGAATTATTAAATGATGGCCTTCAACTGTGCGGAGATCACATGGGGAATCAGCTATTTTGATAGTACCTCTGCCATCTGCCAGAGTCAGGGCAAGGTAATTAAAAGCCTTTGAGGAGACAGAGTGGGAGAGAGGTTCTGAAAGCCTAAATGCACTTTTAAAATATTTTTCATAAATTCTCCTATTTTCAGCCTCACTTTGTACCCTGACAAGTATTTCTCTTGGCATACTGAGAGAAAGAAATTAGCCAAATGTTTTCAGGAGTCACATTTAAAAAAAAAAAAAAAATTAAATGTAGAAAATAAAAGGTTAGAAAAATATATACCAGATGCTTTAAAAATGACAAAAGATATATATTAATATTAATAACTACTAATAAAGGGAACAACCTTCAGTTTTGATAAAAGTCTAATCCACCAAGAAAAATAATATGAACTTTTACATACCCAAAATATAAAGAAATATCTGTTAAAAATCTAATGAGAATAAATTACTAATCATAATGGGAGGTAGGAACACATTTCTCACAGGAATGGAATGGTCACAATGACATGAAAAATAGTAAAGATATTGAGGATATGAATAACATAATTAATAAACTTGATGCATGGATATAATTAGAGGATATATCTAATAATCATTCTTCCAAATATGTGGTATAATCACAAAAACTGACCACGTAATCAGCCACGATTGAAATTTTAATATATTCTTTTTTTTCATTTTTATTTATTTATTTTAATTTACATCCCTCCCTCCCTTCCTTCCTTCCTTTTCTTTTCTTTTTAAAAAAATTACATCCAAGGTAGTTAGCATATAGGGCAATCATGATTTCAGGAGAATCCAATGATTCATCCCCTACATATAACACCCAGTGCTCATCCCAACAAGTGTCTTCTTTAATGCCCCTTGCCCATTTAGCCATCCCCCAACCAAAACCCCTCCAGCAACCCTTAGTTTGTCCTCTATATTTAAGAGTCTCTTATGTTTTGTCCTCCTCCCTGTTTTTATATTATTTTTGCTTCTCTTCCCTTATGTTCATCTGTTTTATATCTTAAATTCCACATATGCATGAAGTCATATGATAGCTTTTTCTGACTTAGTATAATACACTCTAGTGCCATCCACATTGTTGCAAATGGCAAGATTTAATTCTTTTTGATTGCCGAGTAGTACTCCACTGGATATGTATGTATGTGTATGTATGTGTGTGTGTGTGTATATATATATACATCCATACATATATATATATACACACTACATCTTTAACCATTCATCTGTCGACAGACATTTGGGCTTTTTCCATACTTAGGCTATTGTTGATAACACTGCTATAAACATTGGGGTGCATGTGCCTTTTCCAATCAGCACTTTTGTATCCTTTGGATAAATATCTAGTAGTGCAATTGCTGGGTCATAGGGTAGTTCTATTTTTAATTTTTTGAGGAACCTCCATACTGTTTCCCAGAGTGGCTTCACCAGTTTGCATTCCCACCAGGAGCGCAAAAGAGTTTCCCTTTCTCTGCATCCTTGCCAACATCTGTTATTGCCTGGGTGGTTAATTTTAGCCATTCTGACTGGTGTGAGGTGGTATCTCATCGTGGTTTTGATTTCTATTTCCCTGATGACAAGTGATGTTGAGCATTTTTTCATGTGGTCCCAATAGTTCATTTTTGCTTTTGTTTCCCTTGGCCCTGGAGATGCATTGAGTAAGAAGTTGCTGTGGCTGAAGTCAAAGAGGTTTTTGCCTGCTTTCTCCTGTAAGATTTTGATGGCTTCCTGTCTTACGTTTAGGTCTTTCATCTATTTTGAGTTTATTTTTTTGT